AGTAGCTGATGTTCTAAATCTAGTTAGGAAAAAAAAAAGGGGGGGGGTCTAACTGCAAGGGCAAATGTTTTTTCATTACATACTGTTGACACCAGGGTCAGTAATTGGAAGAGAAAGCTGGTACTGTCTTTTAGTTAGTTTTTTGGAAAGGATTATATTGTATTTTCATTACAAACTTTTTCAGGACAAGTAACAACGTAGAGAGGTAGGGAAGCATCTCTTAATGCTAGTGGAAAAGTTAAAAATACTTAATCCCCTTCTACTTTGGTAACATGAAATAGCCCAACTGTTTTTTGGTGTACGTAGACGTACGTACATTTTCTGGTTCCGAAACCGTGTCTAGTTTACTCTCCTCTCTAACTTAACTGCCTTGCTAGAAAGTGTAACTTCAATCTGTAGATGTTTGCACGAAAGCAGTACTTACACTTTCTTTTGCCGAGGGGACGGGCTTGCGCGTACTCTTTGCACAGCCATGGAGGTGGGTTGGGTGGGCAGAGAAGGAGGGATCAGAAGGGGGATGTCAGGCGTGCTTGACTCTGCCCGGACCACATGTTGGGCCTTGCAAAGCAGAAGGCCTGCCTGTGAACCTCACCCAGCCCTTCCGCAGGCAGCGTGGGGACCGAACTGCTGTGGAACTGGACAGCTTTTCCACTTATGTACTGACCAGCCTCACTTGCTGCCTGAGAGAGGGAGGGAATGGTCTTAAACTCAATTTTTTTTTTTTTTGCTTTGGCAAAGCCGGGCTGGCAGTTTTGGCTGTAATATATGGATTTTTCTCATTTATTATTCTGTCTTGTGAATCATATTAAAGATAAACGAGAACTAAATTTCATTCCATATGGCTGCCAAACAAGGGAAAATTAGGTGACCCAGTTACGTCCATTTGCAGTGTGCTGGATGCAGCAGGACAAGCTTGTAGGATTTAGTCTTTTAACACAGTTTAGTGAAGAATGTAATCATTTCAGACTAAAACTACAGCTTTTGAAATGCGCAGCTTAGTCTTTTTCATGAGAAAGGAATGGAATAATGGCATTGGCGAGTAGAACCGTGCTTAGCTGCAAGATGGGTAAGGTATTGGCAGCCCAAACTTTCCTGTTGGCTTTGCAGATATGCCTCACCCTTACCTGGAGAGACCAGTTCCAGACTTGATAGAACGCTGCATTCTGTATGGCTTCATCAGCCTTTGGCATCTCTTCCTTTAGTGCTAGTAATTCAGGATATGATTACCAGAAATTCGGCTGAGACCCCCGTATTTCTTCACTTAGGCCAGTAACTATCAGTGAACGTGTAACTGGGCTTCTCAGTAGCTTTGGCTATTCATTCTTTTGAATGAACAGCTTTCCAGCTGAGTACTGTTAATGATGTGGGGATTCCTTCAGTCCAGTACATGGCGGTTCTTATTTTTCTATCTCCCTGTCTGGCTTTTTCTGCTGAAAAAACAGATTGAAATACGATCTTTCAGGAGATGTTTCTCATATGCAATATAATACATGTGGCAAGAACAGGTAAAAAAATTAATTCTGTGTTTTAACTATAAACAGTAGGATTCATTAGTACTGTTAATAAAAGTTTGTTTATGGTGTACAGGATGTGCAAAATTTGGGGTTTTTTTGCTGATCAGCTGACATTCAACTGCCAGCATCCTGCATTTGGCATGTTGCATCCTGATGCTGGTTCAATTCCTTAGGCTGTTGTAATTCAGTGACACGTACTTTAAAAACATGTTTCTTTTCAATTAGCGTGCCTTACATTTTAGCTTAAAAACTCATTTAACCTAGCAATATTTGGGGAAGCAGCATGATCTCCTAAGTGATAGAACCTAAAGCTAAGACTTTGACCTTTTTCCATCTGCCATATGGACATCTCTGAACTTGTAAACATTACTTCACTGCTTTTAAGTTTCTCTGTATGTTAAAAAATACTCTTTGTAGGAGTCTCTGACCCAAGCGTAAACCGTTGTAAGGAAGTAGAATTATTTAGGACAGAAGGATAAGGATAGGTTGAAACTGGAGGTTTTGTGCTTAGAATAGTTTTCATTTAATTTCCATGGTAAAGGACCTTGCATGGTTTTATCTGTTCTTAAATCCTGGCTATGAATATAAGCCCCTTGGGGCAAGAAGAATTTTGATTGTAAGTTTGAGAAAAGGTTTTATGTTCTTGTATTCTAGTGACACATAAGTTGGAAAGTGTTCAGTGGTGGTTTGGGTGTTGTGTGTTTTTTTGTTTTTTTTTTTTTTCCTTCTCATACTCATGGGAGTACATGGTATGAGTTAAGCTATGACAGAACCTCATGACCAGGAGAAAATCTGAATCTTACTTTCCAGGAGAAAATCTGAATCTTGCTTTCCGTGGTAGAAGTGCTGACCGGTGTGATGAGCCCAAGCAGCTGTTTGTAGTACCTGTGTAAGTGTAGAGGGGTTTGTGTGAGGGTAAAGTGATACGGACCTACCTGAGTCCTGCAGCGTTAATAGACTAAATGAAGCAGTCAACACTTTTTTAGATGGAGACAAAAACTTGGAACCGAGCATAGGCAAAAAAAAAAAGTGTTCTGACCTTGCAGGAAGAGAAGGTGGATGTAGGTGAGTAAAGAAGCAGGATTCAGGGCTGGTAATTGCAACTGAGGCAAAGAATTACCTGACCTGAGAAGTGCTTCGGGGACGGATGGTTGTGTAGCACACAGGTCTGTTGGAACTCTTAACATTGTGAGCTAGTAGTGATTCAGCTGTTCCTCAGCTGTCTTGCTAAACTCTTTCTCATATTTTGCACTTCTTCCCTCCCACCCCCAAATACACAGTTGCAAAATATTTTTAGACCTTACTTCTTAGGCTTTGTTAGAGACGAATGTGGAAATGTTGATGTGTAGTTGAAAACGTTGGAAGTGTGAGCTGCCATTTAGAATGGATAGGAACAAGTTGGTAGGAGAACCTTTGTGCGGCTTTGGACTGGTCACCAGGCCTTTTAGTCTTACTTCATTCTCATACTTCCAAGAAAAAGTAATGAAACTTGATTTTTATTTACTCCAGTCATTTTTGGAGCCTTTAGCAGTAAAGGTGCTCGTTATTCAGAGGATGTGCCCTGTGGTTTAGCAGAGAAGTTCTCAAATTCTGGTGTACAAGCTTGTTGCGACACCCCTGTATTTGTTGTGACGGCGGTGAGGTGAGTTCACCTGCAGCAGCCACGTGGGCCGGACAAAGACAACATGTTTTGGGGGCTGCGGCGGACTTGTAGAGGGTCTAGACTTCTGCTTGAAAGTGAAGCCATCCATGATAGAAGCCTTCTGGCTGGTCCTGAACATGACCTGTCAGAGGAGGCTGTTTTGCTTTTATAGGGTTAGGAAAACATTTGATCTTTCTCTTTTAATTTGTGTTTGGTGTTAAATATAACAAATGCGTAGATTACTATTATTTGCAATTTGGGGTCTGCATGGGGAATTTTAGTGGTACCTATAAATACGCTGTTGCTGTGTGTAGGACAGAAGTGCACCTTGGAAGCGGTTAATTCCCATGCTCTAATCCTTTTCTTTAGGAAGGAGTTCACACAATTGCGTGGCGAGTATTTGTACAGTGGTGGTGGTGGGGTGTGTGTCTTTGAAGTCCATAGAAATGAGAACAGCAATTAGTTACTGCAAACGGTCCTGGTGTCAGTGCTGTAGATAGTCTTTCTTGGGACTGCATTGCATATTTAGAGGGCAAGAACAGTGGGAACTAATTAGTGAGGTAGGGCTTAAATAATCCTTTCAGAGCAGGCAATTTCTGTTCTCTGGAGAGGTGAAATGATTCTTTTAAGCCATTGATAAAGCTCAGCAGCTTCCAACACTTGTTAGTAAGAGACGTAGTAGGGAACGTATGGGTGAAGCTAGCAGATGTTTTGGATTCAGCATTTCGCTGATGAACCTGGTGTACAGAACAGTTGAGTAGCTGTAGCTACTCTGTCTTGTTTCCCTGCTAGTAATGACATCTGCCTGGGGTGGTGAACAGCCGTGAAAGAAATAGGATTAGTCTAGACCTGCCTTCGCTTGTTGATCACCGAAAAAAAAGTATATTTGGTAAATTTAAGCTGGACTTTATTTAACAAATGGTGCAGGTACGCATATCTTCCTAATCAGAAACTCTTAATTAAGTACTGCAACTTACACTGTTAATTACATCTAGCTGCGATGCAGTCCTGAGTAGCAGGCACTTGCTATTTCATTGCACATTACAGAGTTCATTACAGAACTGTCACTTCGTTGGTGAGATTGAGCCACTTGTCTTGGAGGCTAATGCGATGGATAAGAAGAGTTATAAACTCTTACCATGCCCTGATATCCAGTGTCAGTTGTAAAATATGTTCAGAAATATGTCACAAGTCAAAAAAAAAAAAAGTCTTAACTGTTAGCTGTTGGTGACTGAACAGTGAGGTTGGTCTGAAAAATTCTGCACAAAGCATTTTCCAGCCCAGCTTTCAAGTGCCAGTCTTTGTAATTGCTATATTCAGATAACATATGCATAGTTGAAAACAATAATTTTGGTCAAAACCAGCATGCTTTACATTTCTCCGTAGTTTTCCTCAAATCTTTGGTAAGCTATGCTTTTTTTTTTTTTTTACTAGAAGAAATTACATGTCACAACATTATTGGTTTTTCCAGGGAGTTGAGTTTTATGCTGAAAGCTTCTTAAAGAATGCAAAGCTTGAATGCATTCCATTCTCAAGTGACCGGGAATGTCATTGGTATGGTCAGGGTGTAAATCTTGCAGATGAATAATAGCTTGACCTTTAAAAAACTTATTCTTTAAAAATAAAAAGGGTCTACACACTTCAGACAAGTCTACAGTTTTATGAATTTTGGCTAGACTGTGTTCTAAAGCAGACTGTGATTCAAAGCATATTGAATGAAGGGTCTTTCTGGTCTTCAGCTTTGTATATTTCTGTAATGCTTTGCTCATTTATTTTCACAGGGCAGTTTCCTCATACATTTTTTTCCAGCTACGATCGTTAATCAGGACTGAACACGTGGGTTATCTGATCTTCTGTGGATTTTAGAAGCAGGTACGTTGGCAGGGAAATTTCTGATGTTTTATTGTTTGGGGATGGGGGGACAGCAACTTCATCTGTGTGCCAGAAAGACCTGCAGGGTTAGGGAAATGCTGCTTAAGTAACATCTCATTAGTATAGCATGTTAATATAGCTTTCTTGAGAAAGCAAAGCTGATAAGTACTTTGATAAGATCTTTTCATCCTTTGTTTGTAAAGATGGATTGTGCTGTCTTCTGGGCAGCTTTGTAACTTGTTTTGGAAATTTACTGATCTAATATGTGCTGAGTAGTATTGTCATCCTAAACTGTGTCTTATAAAAGCTTTATGTAACAGGAACAGAGATAGGTTAAAGTTTTTCATGCTAGAGTCTCAGTGCTGCCTTAAGACTTTTGTCTTTCTTCTTTCATGTCATCAAGTAGGAAAAGCTGTGGTGGCTGAGACTATCACCCAAAACAATTGTGCAGTGTATGAAAAGCAAAGCGCTGTTGCTCTGTGATCTTACTTTAACCTCTTTATACATATATTTTGGTAGCTTTCGAGCCATATTGAGTTCTTTCCCCCCCATGTTGCTTACTAACTTTGTGAAGCATTTGCTGAACAGGCAGGCTTTAGTATTTTTATCCTTCCTGTTGAATAGGTAACTTCATGATAAATCCGTCTTGGTTGAAGTTTACTTTAGAACCACCAGGTTTAGATAGGAATTTCCATCACCCCTTTTTAAAGTCTGAAAAATTAATATGACAACTGGAAGACTATTATGATGGAAAACAATGAAAACAATGGATAATGACATGTGTAGACTACCGATCTCTTGCAATATCTGATGTGTAGAGGAATGGTGAAATGTGGTCTTGCTAGCTGGCATGGGGGCAGCTGTGGCATTTTCTTGGGGCTTGTGCATGGTGCCACCTATTGATAGATAAGATAGCCCATATAATTTGTTCCATTTTTAAACAATAGGTGTGTTACCACATTTCAGGTTTTTGCTGTTGTGCTTTTTTGTTTCCGAATTGATTTTTTTTTTTTTGGCTACTAGTGTAGCCCCTTCCCTCTTCAAGTAACACTATTCAACATATTAAAAAAGGCAAAGTGTGTATTAGTATAATATTAAGAACCAGTCACAACCTTTCAGACTTACTTGGTATCTTGAAAAATATTTATTGTTGTATCAGTCTCTGGATATGCATGACAATGTCTCTTGCTCACTGTTTTATTTTGTTCATTGTCTTACTGCTGACATCACTTGCTAGCACTCAGTAAGTTGCACTGTGGAGTGTATGCTTCGTAAGGTTAATCCAATCTACTTACTTGAGTTGATACTAAACAAAAATACAGGATGGTTTTATTCTACCTTCAGAAAGCAGTTTGAAGATAGGAAAAAAAAAAAAAAATCACCTTGCTCATTTACAGGCTGCAAGTTTCCAAGCAGAACCATCTATAGCAAATCAGCATAATGCAAATCTTCCCCCTGGAAGCTTGCTCAAGTCGGACTGATGATACAGCGTTCTCTACTTTTTACTCTTATCTTTATGCTAAGTAATGTGGGTGGTAAAGCCTATCCCAGCAGCTGCTACTTAAGTTTGCATTACTTCTGACTCACTCAGGAGGGCCTGTGTGTAATTTTAAACTGTTTCCACACCCAGATTACTTTCCCTTAAAAGTAATAATGAAAATAAAGTGAGAGGAGAGGTCTGTAATGACTACAGGGAAACATTACATGGAAAACTGTGTGTTGGAACCTGCTGTGATACAGTCTTCACTAAGCATGCCTTGGGTAGTGTATTCCCTTGGTTACTAAGGTTCGGGAAAGCAGTTTATTAGCTTAGTATAGGACCAGATCCAGTTCTGTGAATGAAAACTAGTTGGAGAACTGTTCTGGAGCCACGTCTCCAAGCTGTGCATGGTGGAAGAGTGGTTGGCTTACACCCCTGTCCACAGATTCCTTAGTGGGGGTTACATTTCTCCAACACACGGTACTTCTAAGAGGTCAGGTCAGTTTGTTACGCGGCTGTACTAGTGTATTATTTGAAGCACCATTATTTTCTAAATTTGATGTTAAGGTTTTTACTATTGTTGACTTAATGAACATACTCCAAGATAATTTTTAATAGCAGCTTGAAGAGGATACCTCAACATAATTGCCAGATACTCAGACAACAAAGTATAATCATGCTCAGTGCTAGAGAATTTAGATAGCACAGTCTGTTTATTCCATAATGTAATTATCTTTTGTTAAAATAGAAAAGCAAAACTGTGTCTTTTAAATTATATGAGAAAGGACGATAAACTCTACTCCTTCCCTGTTCCTCTTAGCTCTTCTTTCTCTCCAAAACCATTTAATAAATTTTATTAACTTTTACAAAGTTCAGTGACCTTTTTTTATATTATATAAAAAGGAAAAACGAGAGAGGAGAAAGACTTAAGAGTTTAGATTTCACCCAGCTTTTGTTTAGCCATTGCAGGCTTGATGGCTGTGCATTCTGCATCCTGTTTTTGTACTGGTTGTGCTTATTTATGGGAAAAAACCAAAACCACAGACTCTTCTGTCAGGGTGATTCTTTCATCTAGTTGTTAAAATTCTCTTTTCTACTCATGCAGTAATGTAAGAACAGATAATGAGCTGGTGGGGTTGTGAACATCAGGCTCTTTGAATGTTAGAGTTGCATATGTAAGGCCCAATTTAGCTGTTCAAATTTTTAAGGATTTCTGTCATGAAGCATGTGATTCCTTACTCTCCCAGGCTATTAAGTGGTCTGCCCACTGGTGTAAAAATAGGTAGTTTGGAAATTAAACTTTTCCTATTATTCCTGTTATACCCCATTACCTATTTTAGTTTGTCTTTTTCTGATCTTGTACCTTCAGGAAATCCAGGAGCTGGCAGGAGGGGAATGAACCGTGAGGGCGTCCCCGGAAAGAGTCCGGAGGAGATGTATATTCAGCAGAAAGTGAGAGTCCTACTGATGCTGAGGAAGATGGGATCAAATGTAAGATACACTGTCGTAGCCATATTTTGTGGCTTTCCAGACAATTCTGTAGTAAGTGGGGCAGTGCTTACTGAGATGCGCAGGTTATGGTCTGGTTTTATTGCGGAATTATTTTAGCCATCATTGTTAAACACAGTTGATTTTTGCTAAAACATTGAGGGTTGTGATGCTTGAAACTAAATCTGAGCATCTGATCATTTCTCTGTGTACGGTAAGGTTTTTCATTATTGGAAAAGCAGCAAAATAAAGCAGCTGTTTTAAGGCAACTTTGAGTCTCTCCATGAACGTATGATGTAGCAATTTGCTGCTATGTCCTTGCTAATGGTATAGTTTGCACAAGTAACAGTTGATTAAACTGTTGAGGGATAGAATAGAGGCAACTGTGACATTTCTTATGGGGAAGTGGGAGATAATATCTCCAGTGTTTCTTCATTTTCCTTTTTGCTGACTGACTCTGTACATTTCCAGCTGACTGCTAGTGAAGAGGAGTTCTTGCGCACATATGCAGGTGTAGTGAATAGCCAACTTAGCCAGCTTCCTCAACACTCCATTGATCAGGGTGAGTACTGGATTTGTTTGCCTTGTGTTTGCTTAATCTGTGAGAACAGGCTTAGAAAATACCAAATTTAGGTTCCTGTATTTCTGTTATGGTATGCCCCCACTTACTTAAACGCATCCTGCAATCTGGGATATTGCCTGCTGTAATCTTTGGAAGAGAACTAGAGTGTACTGTTCAACAGGTGGTTTCATTTTAACAAGTCAAGTCTTGGCTATACCTAAGATTCATTAAGATGAAGAGCACTATTAAATATCTTATTCTCTATAACTCAAAACATTGATGGCCAAAGACCTGTAAGCTAAATGCATGTATATAGCTTCCTATTCTATGTAATACATTAAATAGAAATACATTTTAACATGATTGATTTTTTGGGTTTTTTTTGGTGCTATAGGTGAAGTTAAATTCAGGTATGCATAGGTCCCTCTAGTTCTGAGTGTGTCTTACTGTATTCAATATGGATAAGACAAATTTCATCTAAATTTTTGTATTGATTTTTAAATTGGACATCTGTGTATGCTTCAAACTGAGAGTTTTGTAACAAAATAAAATGTAAAGTAGATAAAGATTTCTGAGGTACAAAAGCAATTTGTTATGCATATGATAATTTAGTTACTGTGACTCTAATTGCTTAATAACACTTTTCTCACAAAATAAAATGGAATCATCTAACGACATCTTTTGTCTTTCACATTTCCATGAATGTGGAAGTAAAGTGCCATGTTACTCTTTCAGCAGAGTAAGAGGGAAGGTTTAGCAATAGGAGGAATTTGTTTCCCATTGCGTTTCTTTAATTTGCAAACTTAATTCCCAGACAGGGGTAGCAGACATGAAATAAGTTTACAAATCTGCTTTGGTTTGTTGAGATTCCCATTAAGGGGATGAAGTACGTGCTGCTTTTCTGAATTCTTTGCAGAAGTCTTGGTAAATAATTGTGTGGCGCTACTCTGAATCCACTAATCTCTTTTGAACCTGAACATCTCTTTCTGATTTTTTTTTTTCTCCCCTTCATAGGCCTCTGCCAGATCACATTCATAATGTAAAATTTGGTATTGAAGGAAAATTGTAAGACTTGTATGTCAGAAAGAACCGTGTTGGGCAGAAATTTAATATAGATCTAAGACATTTAGAAAATAATTAGAAACACAGCCTGCACAAACTTGCTCTTCAATTTTAAGCCTGTGTGTTCATTCCTCGCATAGCTGGGGGATTGATGGGGATAGATATACTTGTATATCTTGGCTCAGAATTCTTAAACTTTTCTGCCAGTCTGAAGTCAAAATTTGCTGATTTCTCGTCAAGAACTGAGGTAGGCGTATTCGTTAAGAAAGACTGTCTTAGTTGCAGTTGGCATTTTTCAGCATTAGCCCTAAAGTAGTTAAATTTCTCCCAATGAAAATATATGCTGAATTACCTGCACTTCGGCAAAGAAAAGATAATAAAAACAGAAATCCAGCCAGGGGACACAGATACTTTGTACAGCTGTGCTCCTGCACAGCTTGATCTAATTTTCTTGTCTAAACTATCTGGTTTATTATCTGTAAAATTATATTTTCTCACTTTGCAGAGGGCTTTAGAGACTCAAAAAAATTGAATTTTGACATAATTTTGAAATGTAATCAAAAGAGGGACCAACAGTTACTTAGTCTGTTTCTAGACTCACTAATCATGCAATACAGGAAATGTAAGAGCTTCGTACATTGTTAAAAAAGTTGTCTTTGTCCCGTATTTGAACAGATGCTAACTGATTTCTCTCTCATCATTTTCTTAAAGTCCTTGAAGATTCTTAAAACTCTGTCCGTTGGGAAGTGAAGTCCTCCCTCTTGATGCTTGCTTTGATCTAATCTGAGACACTGCTGCCTTTCCTGGGAGATTTGACCCCACAGTCTTACCTTCGATCCTCCCAAATTATAATTAAGCTGGTAGTCTGATTAAGATTTTTCTTGGTAGAAGGAAAAAGAACAAAGAAAGAAAATAGTTAAAAATTTAGAGAAGTGGGAAAGGATGTTGGTTCTTTTCATATTCAGGTATGCATGCCATCTCTCCAAATTAAGTAGTGAATAACCTGAAGAACAAATGAAAATGAGGAAACCTAGCCACATACATGTTCCTTTGGAGAAAGCTGAAGCTGCAGTATGCTGTATAGACATAAGCGACTATAATTCCTTGCTCAAGACTTTAGTTTCCTTAGAAATCTCTGCAGATTTCTCACAGTCAGTTACAATATTGTTGCTCCTTGCTCTGAGGTGTGGTGGCTCACGCAGCAGCAGTCACTGCCATCTGTCTGTACCTTTTTGCCATATCCTGGTGTTGGTGAAAGAGGAAGGGTCCATTATGAAAGTATTGGAAAGAGAGAATACAAATTGCATAGGTGTCCAATTTACCATCTTAAGGGAGATTCCGTCTCCACTAGATGGCATATCTTGTGCTGAAAAACCCCGTCCCAAATCCACTCGCTGAGGTACTTCAGTGGTTTGTGTTCTCCCAGATGGCTTAAAGGAGTTTTCTTCCCTACTTTTCTGCTGTTTTCACTGAATCTCCTCTGGAGGAGATATATTCCCCCCCCCCCCCCCCCTTTATGCAACTTGCCTTACACAACAACTAGAAGGTGTGTTATTTAAAGAGTAATTTACAAAGAGTTAGCATGTCAGTGGATTTCACAATCTTCTTTTCCGATAGTAGGACAAGTTGCCTTTAACCTAACTTGTCCCAGACCTATCTTTAGAGTCGTTTCCTCCAGCAGGCACACAAAAGACAGAAAGCTGATTTCGTACTCCCATTTCGTGCCAAAAAAAGGGAATGACATTCTTGGCCTTAGCGCTCTAAAAGCTTCGTTACAGACCTGCAGATTTTTGTGTGTCACTTAAAAATGCTGTAGTCTGGCTCCAGGACTTCAGGAAGGCTGTTCTGGGATTTTTTGGGGTTTAGTGTTTTGTTTTTTGTTTTTAATAAGAGTATAGAGGATGGATGGTCTAGAATTTTGTAAGTGTATCACAGTCTCTATTACAACTTTTATACTTTTCTTTGTTGTGCATCCATGAAATACTGTCTTACAGCAGCTGGCTGGTGGCCTCACAGCAATTACCTGAGGTCGGACTGCTGAGCTTATCGCTGTACGGTGCTCCCCACCATGGATTCTGCTAAAGATCTGTGAATTTTTGTGGAGTCTATTTGTTTGACCACAGGGAGTCACTGCAACCTATGTGTCCAATATATATTTGCAGCAATATGACAGTGCATGGAAGAAAGAAGTTTACGCTTGTTCC